AGATCGCAAATGACATGACAGTGGCCTTAAAAGTATGTTTGAGACAACTTCAAATCTCCATAGGTTCTGGATTAAAGTAAAGGCAGAATACCCTGAAATTGCCATAAAAGCACCGCAAAGCCTACTTCCATTTACAACATCCTCTCTTTGCAAAGCAGTGTTTTCTAGTGACAGCAACCAAAATGGGATTACAGAGTAGAATGGATGTAAGCAACACACTTTGGGTGTCACTATCTCCCATCACCACCAGACGGGACCATCTAGTTGCAGGAAAACAAAATCAGTCTCCCACTGTTCTGCATTATGGTGAGTTGCATAATTATTTCATTATATATTACAATGTAATAATAATATAAAGTGCACAATAAACGTAAGCACTTGAATCATCCTAAAACCATTCCCTCTGACCCCCCGCCACCCCATCCATTGAAAAATTGTCTTCCATGAAACCTGTCCCTGGTGCCCAAAAGATTGGGGACTGCTGTTCTAGGTGATAAATTTTGAGAACCACTGAACAATGATTTAAAATTCATTTAATAGACAGGTGATTAAGGGGTTAATCAAACATCATTAACCTTTTTAATTATTTTAAACTATTTTTAAAAAACTATAATACAAATAGCATATACTAAATTATGCCATATTATGTCATTCTGGGTAAACATCAAAACTTCTCAGTGCAGAAAATGGCACAATGAATGAAAAGGTATGGCTCTGTTTCATGTGTGTGTGTTTGTTTAAATTCAAGCCAACAAGTTCATGTTCAAGTACCATTTTGCAAAAACATGTACTTGTGGGCAAAGCAGGGTAAGGCTCACCTAGATGCATCTATTTAGCCCTTCCTCTAATCAGAATAAATTAGAGCAAAAACTTACTATGAATTTTGTGTACTTCTTCTCTAATTATATTTGTGATGAAGTTATTCTAACTTTGGAATAAAGTTCTACTTTTCCCAGTATAAGTAGTGAAATAATTACCTATAAAACTAGAAATGGGTCTCTAGTTAAAAATGGGGACTATTAAACAAATTTAACATGGATGTATTGTGACTAATTTGGCTCAAGATGTATTAAGTCTTACTATTAAATAGTACCAGTTGATTTTTTAGCTAATATTGACCACACTGGCAACTATGTTCAAAGTGAAATACATACGCTGGAAGCTTCCAGAAATAGTCACTCAAGGCTAAAATACAGTGACAGTTATCTGTCATTAGGATTTATATATAGTGATAAAAACTGACAAGTTTTCAATAGGTTTTATATGATAAAATAGTGCAAAATAGTAATATAGATCCTGACCAAGTTCCATAATTTTGCAACAAAGCATGAAGGGGCTGATATAACTGCAAATCTGATAATTAAAATATACTCAGAACAAAACCACCATATTACTTAAGAATAAAAGCATCCATAATTGGGGGGAAAAGCTCATTAAATCCTGCATTTCTGATATTGTAACAACAAATATGTTGAGTAAGCTATTGTCAAAAAGCTGAAATAAAACATTGGTACATTTCTGAAAATACAGAGAATACAAAAATTACTCATCACCTACACCTGACTGATTAATTCAAACGTTAAGGTTATGTAAAATCTTTCCAATTTAACTGAATGAAAATATAAATGTGGCAGATCCATTTGCAAAAGCTTTTCAAATAGGTAAATTCAAAAATGGTAAAACAACATACAATGGAGAAAAAAATTTTAATGTCTAAGTCATTTTAACACACTATCAACTATCAACACTAACACACCATCAACTAACACACTATCAATTTTTAACACACTATCAACTAACTGTCAGAAATATTGAAACAATTATATGAAGAGAAATAAATAAAATTAAAAATCTCAGGGTGGTAGTTCCTATAAAAGTTATTGTTAGATTTCATCAAGTAATAGCTGTATACTAATAAAGATTAGAGATTAGATATCGAGATATTTCAAAATAATTTTGGATAATCACATACAAATTATCCATTAAATTGAAGTTGTTGGGTATTTTTCCTGAACTAATTATAATTTTACAAACAGCAAATTTCAAAATGTATTTTTCATGCTAAACTCAGCTGAGTGTTCTGAAGCAAGGTATAAATACTTCAGAAAAAAAATAAGAAATGAATTTTTTCTTATTTAAAAAGCTTTGATAAATATCTCAAATATAAATGACTTGGGGAAACCAATTTGATTATCTAGATCTTTAATAAGCTGGAAAAAACTCAATTTATCAATACAATCACAATGTTACCAAGCTTTTAAATGCAGATACATTTTCAGTATTGAAAGTGATTCTTACAGATTCATCATACAAGTAAAAAAAACTGTTCTGAATTTTAACAGAGATAAGCATAAAAGTATGAGGTGTTTTTTTTTTTAATATCAACCAATATCTCAGAATGTTACAAGATATAGTTTTATCATTGAAAAAATGAACTGACTGGTGAATTGATTCTATTGCTTCCCTCCGACTGCAACATTTATTCTTTCATGAACCACCTTTGAAAAAAAAAATCTTACTATTCCTCTGTAAAGCTGGATCTGCTTATTTGAAGCATATCCTAAGAAAAATGTTTAAAAATATTACAATTTGCCACTACTAATTTGTATGAACAAGCATTTTCTACATACGTTCAGCACAATCCTTGATGCAAAAAAAGCATTTTCTATATACAAAGCAATAAAAATATAATAGCAACTTTCAAGCATAACTGTCAACTTAAATTTCCTGCTGTACCACTGATTGACTTAATTTGAAAAATGCTGTTAGTATGAAATTACAGGTTATATATATATACATATATATACACTCATAAAATACTACTTTTTACTTGTATATGGAATTCTTCAAAAAATTTTTTTAAATAAAGGTTCTCTGCATGCTAGAAAGTTTGAAATCTACTAAGAAGATAAATCCAAATCTTAAGCATGGCATAACTTAGCCCCAAATATCTTTCAGTTTAATTTCCCACCAGGCACATTTTTTTCTCCAGCAATACCAAATGCTATGTATTCTCAGAAAATACATGATATTATGCTTTTAGATATGCTCGTATTTCTGCTAGAAATTCCCCTTTCCCACTTCTGGAGAAATTTTACTTTACTTTTAATACCCAGATAAATGTTGCTTCCCAGACTCAAGACAGAATTAACTACTTTCTCTTCCAAATTCCATTATGTTACTTATTCATATATTATTATATTTATCTATTTAAATATATTGTCTCCCAAAATATATCATCTCCCTAAATCCTTTGAATGCAGAATCCAAGTTACATTCATTATCGTATCCTTTTTTCCCTGATCTTAATATGAACTCTAAAGTTGGAATGCATGTACTAATAAATAGTAAAATTAGGTAAGTAAAAGAATAAAAGGAAACAAAGTAAAAACTTGCTAAGGTTGGTCCCTATAAATTACTCATTGAGTAAGAATAGAATGGCACTGTCCTCTAGCTAGTGCTACTTAAAAGTGTAGCAGGCACAGGCAACAGTCTGCAAACTATTAATATTTATCAGTCTGCAATGAAACAAATACAAAACTTAGGATTAAGCATTCAGAAACTTTTAAAAGAATTAAGTGATTTTCATGTCCATTGACTCCTTTTGTATCATTTTAATTTCATTTTTCTAGTAATTCTTTCTTTTATATTTTTATTAAGTATCAGTGACAGGCTGAAAATTTGTTTTTAAAAGGGGGTCCTTTACCACAGATAGCTTGAGATAGACTATGGAAGACTATGAATACGACTTTGACTCTTTTTTAATGAGAGTTTGGTTTAGGAGGAAGAATATAAATCCATATAAATTTCTGTAATATAATATCAATGTATTTCTGTAATATAATATCAATATAACTAAACATATTTATCAAAGTTTATACCATTATCTTTGACACTTTAAAACACATCTCTTAATAGAATCATAAATGTACCTGGAACACCTGTGCATAAATAGCATTTCTTTCTAAACTTATTTATATGAAGGCTAGATTTCAAATTAAAATTAGGGTTTGTTTCTCTCCCTATCAGACTTTATGTTATCAGGTGGCATAAAGGGCCACCCATCTTCGAACCCACACAGACATAACTTATTGCCCAGTAGCATCAGTCAGCTTTCTACAGCCTGATCTGCATAATTTCAAAACCCTGGAAATACATAAAAGCAAAATGAGCATTTTGCTCACTTTTTTTAAAGAAATTTTTTAAAGAAATTCTCCTTTCAATATTTTTATTCCCATCAAGAGAGATTAACTTATGTTTTCGATTGTTTATATTACATGTTGGAAAACTTTTCCTATAAAGAGTCACACAGTATTTTAAGGTTTGTGGGTTATATGGTCTGTCACAGGTACTCAGCCCTGTTGTTGTAACATGACAGTAGCCATAGACAATATGTAACCGAATGGGCATGGCTGTATTCCAATTTGTTTACTTACAAAAACAGGCAGCATTTGGCCTGAGATCATAATTCACAGACCTCTGTTTTCTATCATAGATATAACTTTAAAATGCAGTTATTAAAAAGCTATCACATAGTAGATGCTCAAAAACTATAGGATTCTTGTGGGCATTTATTATCAGCTTCTAAAATGTTAAAAACTGAGAAACTCATCAACATTCAGGCTCACGAGGGGAAGATGAGACATGATTTTTCAAGAAAATCAGAATATACTGAAAAATCTTTTTTTCTGCCTTACCTTTAATGGCATGTGTCTAGGGAAGTTATAATAAGCTTTTCATGCTATTATTAGATAGCAACATTCCCACAGGTTATAGAAAACAAAAGGTAAGATTCATTTACACTAGTTGCCACAACCACTATGACAAATAGTATATATGCAAAACCCCATAAAGTAGCCCATTTTAAATGAAACACAAATATGGGCCATATAATCATAATATGTCAAACGAAACTAACTATAATTTTAAGTATGATCTTTGTTCAATTCACATCAGTTAAGCAACTTCAAAATATAGAGATCTTGTTTGCAACAACAAACCTGGATTGTAGATTTATTTCATCTTTGAAGTTCAAAGTTAGCCCTCCCCAGGATGTGATCACTCCTTTGAAGGGTGAGATACAAAGCTCACAGAGGTCACTCTAAAATCGAAGTAAAATCCTAATCATTCATTTTCACTTAAGTTCCAGTCTCCCTAGTGAAATACATATTTCAATGAGCAGTTCTTCTCCCCATTCTAGAACTCTTTTCACCAGAACACAGGAAGAATTGCTGAATGTTTATTGTAAGTTTCTAAGAGGTCTCTTAATGTTAGATTCCAAACATCTTAACATAACTCAAATGTTCTTTTCGCTTTGTACTAATCCTTCTAAAATGTCTCCTAAGATTCCAACACTATCTTTATGAAGAAGAATCAAAATTCACTATTTCACCATGCCCTCTACAGCATCAAATGGTTGGTTTTATATAGTAATGATTCTCAAAGTATTATATTATCATCAGAACTTGAGTAGCTATTGAGCTGTAGGAATGAAGAAAAAGAAGAGCCTAAAAAGAATATAAGTGGGTTCTCTTGTGGGGATCCACACTGAAACAATAATGACTAAGCAGTATATACTTCTGGAAATATAGTATCTATGAGAGAGGGAAGTCCCCCTGGAAAAGGGCTTAGGACATACCTGAATATCCACTGAGACCTAAAAATCTGAGATGTAAAAAAATTAATGTCATTAAAATGTTTAAATATTATTTCATTTCTCTTTTTTCCTTTCTTTTAAATGATTCTTCTGATTTCCCAGTCTCAAAAAGTTGATCCTGCTCACTTTCCATTTTGCCTGAAAATTCAATCACATATTCTAATTATTTTGGAATTGTTTTTTCTTTTTTTTTTAGTCATTGAGGCTGGAGGCTGGAGTGCAGTGGTCTAATCACAATTCACTACAACTTCAAGCTCCCGAGCTCAATCCATACTCCTGCCTCAGCTTTTGAAGTAGCTAGGACTACAGGCACATGCCACCACATCTGGCTGACTTTTTTATCTTTTTGTAGACACAGGGTCTCAAACTCCTGGCCTCCACAGCTCCTCCACCTTGGCCTCCCAAAGAATATTTTGGATTTCTTTTATACCATTTACAGTCACTATTCTTAACATATGCAGAACATGCTGAAGCTATCTACCTATTTTTTCTGCCTACACTCTCCTACTCTTCTATACATTTCTGCTGAAAGCCTTCCCCACACACTGATTTTACTTCTCAAACATATAACATATAGCTTGCTAAATAAGATAGTTTAACTACTTCTTAGTAATGATAAAATATTTTTAATAGTTAAAGAATAAGACATATGTTTAGGGCAGTAAAAATAGAATTTAAATAATAATAAAGGATAAAATATTCTTTTAAATAAATTTAACAGAAATGGAAAATAAACCCAAGAAAGAGGCACATTCTACAAGGTAAAACTTGAATTATGCATCTACTAAGGGCAGAGAAGGAAAACTAGAAAACTACAAACTAGGATTATGCTTGCTGCAGTAAGTGATGCAGCTGCTGTTATTACTAAAGTCCAGGATAAAATATAAAAGTAATCAGGAAAGCATGTTCACATAAGTTAGAGGGAAAAGTAAGATTAGGCCTAAATGAGGAAATATCAGTGGGAATAAAATCAAGTGACTTGTAAGTTGTTTAAATAGTGTTCTTATAGTGTGAATTTCTGACCCACCTACCTTAGCAACAAAGCAAGTTGCCAGTGTTACACATCAGTCCTTCTACCACTGGAGGGAGTCTGGTCACATATGCTTTGATGTGACTTTTATTCTAGTAACTTTTTGGTCTTCTCTGGGAATGAATTAGAACCCCTAGCAAGAATATGAATTGGTTTAACATAATCTGATAGTTTTAAAGGTTTTTGTTTCTTTTAGTTTTTATTTTATTTTTTTTGTTTCATACTAATAAAAATTTATAGTATCCTATAGTCATATCTGGGTCAAAGAAATTAATCCAGAAGTCACATATCCTAGTACAGATCTATCCTTGGAAAAAATTAATAAAGGAAAACATTGTAAAATTAAGAACAAAGGACTGTGAGGCAAATACCTACCTAGAGTAGGTACCAAGCTCACAAGGCACATGAAAAACAACAAACAGAAAATTTGAACTAGAAGCTGAAAACAGCTTTTTGGACTAAGGTTAAAAAGGGTATCACTGATAGGATGGTAAAACAGAAGCAAAAGAGTACTATAACAGGGACTTTTAAATTTGCTATTCCTTAAAATTTAGAATTTCCAGATTCCATTAATTACTCATGAAGCTGAGGTGATTTCCTAACTAAGCAACACATAATTGAAATTACGAAAAACAACAAAGATCTAACATTGCCAAAAAAAAAAAAAGAAAGAAATAAAAGACAGTAGTTCAACTCAATAAGGTATGTGGAGAATAATATTCCATTCACAATAATTATTACTCTATTTCATGTCAAGATTTGTGATAAATGCTATATAAGAAATTATTTACTTATTTCAACAATCCTACAGCATTGGCATTACTTTACCCATTTTACATGAGAAAGCTTAAGACTAAAAAGGTTAATTAATTTGCCTATGGTTACACATCTATCAAGAGTCAATATTCTAACAGGTCGGTCTGATCTAAAATGATATTATCACTATGCTATACTGCATGTCAGTGAGACTAAGTAATGACTACCTTACACTCTTATAATAGGGACTATTAAAGGTAATAGTTATGAGTACTCCTCCTAGATGTTTGCTTTAGCAAATGTCATTAAGAATTATCTAATATACCTCTGTGCCACTAAGCATTTATGTTACTTTATGTTTCCAAAGTTAAAATCTATTTAATTCACATGTCAATAAGCATAAAGAAGATCTCAACTGATTTATTATTTAAATAGATATGATAAAGTCCACACTCAAAGGAATCTATCATTTTAAATATGTAAAAGGGAAAAAAACCTTTTTTCTTTTTCTCCACAGGACTACTGTTAGAGACAAAGACAGGGAAAATATGTCAGCTTCTAATTTCTTTAAAATGTGTTCCCTTGATGATTAGTATCATAAACCCCATAAACCATATCTACACAGTCATAAAACACCCTAATCATAGAAATAATAATTGTGAAAGCTAGGAAGCCTTGGGGGTAGATTTAAGTGCTATGAAACAAATTAATTTTGTATTTTCTTCTTTACTGTAACAAGGGTGCTGGGAGCTTATATACATGTAAGGCAACATGTAGATAAATATTTCCCTTTCAGCAAGGAAATAAAGCTTTTTAATATATATGATAAAAAGATGAAAAGCAGAAGTAATGTAGAATTCTATGGGGGTGGGGTTAAGGGGATGTTTTGTGAAAGTCTGAAGTATCTACACGAAGAAACAAAGTGGAAATTGGTTCCCATATTATTGATGCTTCTAGATGAGAAATTTTCTCTTTCAATTTTTTTTGAAAAGTCATAATAAAATTACCTTATGTATGCAATTTGAGTATACTTCAGCACAGCAGAAATGGAGGAACAAATACTCTTCTACTTGCCATAGGAATTAGTAGAAATCACTAGATTACAGTATATCTTCAGAAGGTTTCCTAATAGTCTATCCAGAATCCTCACTTTGAACTATAAGTAACACCTAGGCAGGGACCATATACTAGTAACCAAAACACACATGCCTAGAAAAAACTATCCATGAGGTAATGTGTGTTTATATAAGAATCATTTTGCTTATTTAAAAATCCAATTATATGACTACATGGACTCTAACCCATATTCTTCAGACTACTGAATATTTTGAGAAATTATGAAAAAAGAAACATTGTGAATTCTTACAGAGAATGTCAACATCAATTTATAGGAAAATATCCAAGTAACAGGCAAAAACATAAAGGACAAGATCCAAGGAAACATAAGAGAGACATAGGTATGTTCACCAGCAGCTATGGTTCTTAGTCAATACAATATGTAAACCATCATGAAATTAAAAACATCTATGAGTGGAAAAGGTAAAATTTGGAAATGTACACTTAATCATAATATAGTTTTCTCTATTCTATTTTATTCTACTTCCAAGGAATTCATGTTTCTCTGATTCTTTCATCACAAAATTAACAGTAGAGTAAAATAAAGACAAATTATTCATATCATAAAATTATGAAAATACAGCTCTTATTATGTACATAAGCACATGAACATATCTGACACATATTCTGCCACATTCCTGTGTACATTATATATTTATAAAAGTAAAATGAGACTTAAGAGGAAGGAAAGTGAAAGGAAGTGAAAATGAAGGGAGCAAATAGCATCCAGCTGAAAATTTCTTAACATAAAATGATTCCAAATAAGATCCGGTTGACAAATTTAATGCAAAACTTTATAAATTATTATGTAAAAACATTACACCCCCCCCAAACTATTCCTATGAAGCCAACTTAATACTTTTGGAGTTGACATATAAGATAGAATCACAAAAAAAAGTTAAGTATTGAACAACATCACTAAACAAGGTATATCTGAATTTTTCCACATCTTCTAATGGAAGAGTCAGCCCATTATATTCATTGGTATAAGCTCTTTCATAAAATAAAGCCCTCTTTAATTAGTCTATGTTAAATTAATTAGAAGTCTTCAAATAGTAATTTTAATTTTCATAGATACTGCTTAGTGCCAGCATCCCCCCAAAATTAAACATTACATAATTTACTCATTTTTCAGGATTCATAAAGTGAACAAAAACATCTAAAAAATATTACCACAATAAAATAGCTACTACTTTAAGAGAAGAGACCACAGTACATACGTCATTCATTTTTATTAACTATTTAATCTATTTTAATCTATTAATTCTGTGAACTTCATAAAAAAGAAAACTTTATTTTCCCTGGTATCTTTGAGATACATGCTAAATCCAATTTTAAGTACTGATATTACTGGGTTCTGAAGAATAACAATGAATTGCCTATTTCCAATTACTACAGAAATGTGCCTTTGATAAATCACTGAAGTAAATAAAAATGAAATCTACTTTTATTAGAATTTTAGTTTTCTCTCAAATAATATAAGAAAACCAAAATATTTACAATTTACAACAGTAACACTACAAAAAAATCATTTCATGAAAGTATATAAACTAAAATTCAAATGACTTCTTATATGGTATATTAAAAATAACTTTTATAGTTTAATCATGCAAGCTCATATATGGAATATATATAAAAAATGATGAAATTTGTTTAGATGCCATAAATAAGTGCACTTGCTACTATGGTGACCAAAATAGTCTAAAAATAAAAGATAAATGAGCTGCCTCTGCAAGAGTATTTATTTATTCATACTACATCTGTTTCAGAAATTAAAGTGGCTTTGGTTTCAAAAAGCTTGAATTTTGTCTTCAAAATTATTAAATGTTTGTATTAATAAATAGAAAATTCACTAATAAACACAAATTTGGTACTCACTTGACCCAAACGTACTCAATAGCAATGCCTAACCAAGTTATTACCATTTAAATGTCTTTGGAAACAAGACCTCTGCTCCCTATTTGGATTACACTGATAAAATTTATGACCTTACTGTGAACATATTAGTATCTCTACATAACTTTGGCTAAAAAATGTTTTACAATCTATATACAGTTAAACATTAATTTCTTTTACAAATCGAAAGTGTTCAGGGCCATCCTCACAACATGTAAATTAC